CAAGGAATACAAAGGGTGCCCTTTTTGGTTTAGAGGGGCTTACAAGAGAACCTGAACCCCCAAAAAGGGAATAAGGGCATACTGTTGGTCCTCGTGGGGTTTAGAGGATTTATAAGGTGCTTAGAGGATTTCGGGTTGAGATGTTTAGAGGCTTTTTTTTTTTTTTTTGGGGGGGGGGGGGGGGGAGCGGGTTGAGATGTTGGGGGTTCACGGTTTAAGGGACGCGGGGCTGGGAACACGAAACCCCTGATATCTACCCAACTAAACTGCACGACGTATGGTTTTTGGTAGTGAGAATCTCAGAAGAATAGCCTATACCCCCGAAAAAACCCTAAACCTTAAGCCTTGAACCCGAAACCCTAAACCCTACCATTGGGCATACGGAGCTCCTGGCAAGCAGAGTGCTGAGCCCAAGACCAGGGCGAAGGCAAACATCACGCAGAGGCCCATGAACATCCTCGCGAAGTGCTTCGTACAGGCTCTGGGTTTAGGGTTTAGGGTTTAGGGTTTAGGGTTTAGGGTTTAGGGTTTAGGGTTTAGGGTTTAGGGTTTAGGGTTTAGGGTTTAGGGTTTAGAATTTTATATTTTGGGTTTAGGGTGGTATATTTCTGGGTATGGACAGATCTGTGTGTACATGTACATACATCGGCCGTGCTTGCGTAAACATGTAAAAACTCAGCACACACATTTCTACACTAAACAAGACATGATGTCTATATACATAATACGTATTATATACACATGCATGTATACACCTATCGTTAAGTCCCGAGAGCCGCAAATGGTAAGCCCCAGACTAGTAACATAGCGCTGTCTATGAGCGCCGAAGGTTCATATAGATTTTACAGCTTAGAGCTTCAGCGTCTATAGGGTTTAGGGAGGGTTTAGGGTACGTAGGGTTCAAGTTTAGGGTCCAAGGAAGTCAAGAACCCTAAACCCAAACCCTAAGCCCTAAGCCCAAGCCCTAAGCCCTAAGCCCTAAGCCCTAAGCCCTAAGCCCTAAGCCCTAAGCCCTAAGCCCTAAGCCCTAAGCCCTAAGCCCTAAGCCCTAAGCCCTAGGCCCTGACCAAGAAGAGGTGCCCCAAGCAGAACATGGTCGGGGACAGGGCCTTGGACGCGTATGGGCTTGGGCAGACAGGTTTTTGCCCGAACCCAAAGTCTAAGCCCTAAACCCTAAACTCTCCCGACTGGCGGGGCGCATACACTAAGTTGGCCCTTGAAACCTTCTAAACAAACATAATGAAGATGCGCCTCTTAAACCAATAATGAAACAACATGTCTCAAGGTCCTACGTCCTACCCAACACCTGGGTCAAGCGTGCCCGGCCCTTTTCTCCGGTCTCTTGCAGAGTCTGCGCGGGGAGACGTCTCAGGGCGTCCGAGACGGCCTGGGAAGCAAAAGGTTGGGGGTTTATGTAGGTTGGGGTTTAAGTTTTCTTGTTTTAGCTTGGAGGGTTTTACGGCTCAGGGTTTAGGGCTTAGGGTCTAGCGGAGTCTAGCACGTAGGGCTTAGGGTTCAGGATTCTCCCAAGTCCAAGTTGTTCGAAGCAATTTTGAGATACTTGGATCAAAAGCTTCATGACTAGAGAGCTGTCTTGTGCTGTTTTAAAGGTTTATAGGGCTTAGGGTGTAGGGTTTCGGGTTGGGCTTATGTGCAGGGGATGCCGGTGCTTTTCCTTCAGATACACAGATTTGAGCCGGTTTTTTGAGTCAGCTCCATCCCTGAAAGACCTTGAGAGCCGTAAGCCCTAACCCCTAAAGCCTACTACAGTCTAAGCCCAACCCTAAGCCCTAAACCTCAAACTTTAAACCCTAAACCTTAAACCCTACCAAAACCCTAAACCCTAAACGCTAAACCCTCAGTCCCCTCGGTCTCGTTTTGGAAACCTAAGCCCGTGGCCGAGGAGAAGCGCTCCCAGCCACCCTGCAGGCCGCATGATGTCACATGGAACTTGGGGGTTTGGGGGGTTTTAGGGTTTAGGGTTCAGGATTTAGGGTTTAGGGCTTAAGGTTGAGGGCTTAGGGCTTAGGGCTTAGGGCCTACGGCTTACGGCTTAGGGCTTAGGGCCTAGGGCTTAGGGCTTAGGGCCTACGGCTTAGGGCTTAGGGCTTAGGGCTTAGGGTTTGGGTTTGCGGTTTAGGGTTTAAGGTTTAGGGTTTAGGGTTTAGGGTTTATATAGGGTTTAGGGTTTAGGGAGGATCTGTGGCAAGCCCCGGCCCGGAGTCGCCGGAATCACGCCAGAGAAGCCCAAGCCGCGAAAGCATGCCCCATGCGATCGGGCGAGGGCACACCCTGTGACCCCGTAGAGTTTAGGGTTTAGGGTTTAGGGTTTAGGGTTTAGGGTTTAGGGTTTAGGGTTTAGGGTTTAGGGTTTAGGGTTTAGGGTTTAGGGGTTAGGGTTCTTTTCATAGCACAAGGGCAAAGGATGTTAAGTCACAGACTCTCATGTGCAGGGAAGGGCAGGGCCGACAGTTTTCTTGGGAGACAAGTGTAAAGAAGGTTTTAGACGCTGAGCCCAAGAACTATCAAGAGCCGAGGGTTTAGGGTTTAGGGTTTGGGGTTTAGGGTTTAGGGTTTAGGGCTTTAGGGCCGGAGTCAAAGTCAATCGCCCAGGTGGTCTTTGCCAGGGAGGGGCTTGCCGCTTGCAGCCGCTAAAGGCATACCATTGACAGTGGCAGGGACTACCAATTGCTTCAGAACCCCACAAGCCTAAAAACTAAAAAGTGTTCTTCCTTATAAGGTTTATATAGAGATTAGAATTTTTTGGGGGCTCTTAAGCTAATAGCAGGGGATTGGGGAAGCATGCGGAGGCAATGGGTGTAGTGTGAGTTTAGGGAGTTGCTGAGTTGCCTGGCTGTACCGTACCTGGGAACAGAACCACTTTTTGTTTGTGGTGTTTTAGGGAACCAACCCCCATGAACAGAGGGTTCTAGGTCTATAGTGGGGAGGGACGTAATGGCGTTGATTCTGAATTGCTCCGAGGTTTAAGAAGGGTTTAGGCCAGGTTTTCGAGTTCTGGGCTTAGGGGTCAGCCTTGCAGGTTTAGAGTTTTGGTTGAATTGTATATAGTTTTTTGGGTATTGGGTATGGCCTGGCGTGGCGAATCGCGTAGGCTTTCGGACAGCACCTTGCACTGGCCGGTCCTCTACACTATGGTGCGCGGGTCCTTTGGCCGTATCAAAAATGTTTACGGTTTTGGACAGGGCTTAAGGCGCATGGAACTTCAAGATGCTTCAAGAACCAATCTGCAGCTTCAAGTCAGACATTCTAGAAGGTGCCAATATCATTTTCGTCAGCCCAAACAAGCCCCAGCTTACAGACTGACTATACATGTATGAGTCGAGTGTTGTTGCACACCGGCACCAGCAAGGTTGGGCGAATGATCAGCATCGTGTTCTATCAACATAATTAGTACCAAAACCTCCAAGTGCCTACGACGTAGGTTGCCACGTCCCCATAAAACCCACAACAATTGTTGCCTTATATAAAAGTATCATCGCGCAACACGACCTATCAAGAAGCCGTCTTGCTTGTTCGTTAGTTTCTGCTGCTGACTGCTAGTCCTGAAAACAAACATGTTGGAAGATGTGTTCGCCACAGCCCCTCGAGCACAAATTGTCACACACACACACACTAGGCTATACAATTAAACCTAAACCCTGTTCCCTACATAATTAACCCTGAACCCTAAAGCCGATATATTTAACCCTAAACAGCCTATCTCTACCTCAACCCTCAAACTTGAACCTGGCGTGCTCACGCCACAACACGTCGCCCTGAGCAGCAGACTCGCCGGTACTCGCCGGAATTGGGCAAGCCAGCTGGGCACAGCGCGCGGGGATAGCTCAGCTTGTTAGGGTTTAGGGTTTAGGGTTTAAAGTTTAGGGTTTAGGGTGTTTAGGGTTGTTAAGTTTAGGGTTTAGGGTGTTTAGGGTTCCTATAGGGTGTTTAGGGTTCTTACAGGACACGAAGAACTCCAGAACCTGAAAGCGATTTGTGAAGGCTGAGGCTTCGGGTCCAAGCGCTGGAGCGTTTACAGCCTGACAGAGTGCTGGGTCTGCCAAGCTGTCTTCTAGGACCTAGGAGTACCTACCATTCAAGACGTGCTATAGTCAAGGTGCTAGGGGTCACCCCCTTAGTTTTTTTGAGGAGACTTGCGAGGGCCACAAACTGAGTTATAAGTGAGAAGTACTATTGAGCCAATAGAAAGTGAGTCCCCTACAGTAAGCATAGTAAGGGCTAAGGGGATACCTCCTTGCATGGCATGGGCAAGGAAGCCTGCAAGATTAGGGCTTGGAAAGTTGAGGAGTTCTTAGCCACAGAGTCGCGCTTTAGGAAACTCAGGATTCAGATGCTTAGGAAGCTGAGCTTTGGGCTTCTGGGACTTCTTTGGGATGTAGGGCCACCCAAGCAAAAGGTCCAGGGTGTCAACCCTTAGGGACTCCAGGAGCCCTGCAAAGGCTTGATGGACCATGGCATGCAGCACCCTTAGGCTACAAAAAATGGCCCCAAAGCCATATATAAGAGGGCCTTTGGGCCAACAAAACCCTGAACTTAGGGGTATAAACGAGATTCGCGTGGTATCGGGTATACGTGATCCCCATTCTTTGGTTCAGTTCGTCTTCCAGGATTTGCTTAGTTCTCTAAACCATGGCCTCGGATGTTCTCACCTTGCAAACTCAACTAATCATGTACTAAAAACCTATGCACAACTGTCAGCTAGCCCCGACCACAGAAGTTCCATCAAGCATCAGCACTCTTTTCTTCGCTGATACCTGGCTAGAAGTGATGCTGCAAAGGCTGGCGCAGTTTTGTGTGCCGGAACACCTGGCACTCTACATATCGAGCACTGTAGCAGAAGGTATGTAAAAGATGCTTATGGTTATGATGATGATGCGGGTGGCTGGGATGATGACGCTGAGTTAAGAATTGGAATGTTACTTTAACTAGGCTGTTGGAGATCAGGCACCATTCAAACAAACTTGTAGGTGTAGGATGTCTTAGTGCTGAACCTGCGCATCGCAAGGTGGCGGATTCGCAGCCCAACTCGCAGTGATCCCGCTGGCTCCCATCAAGATCTCAAACTCCCTGATGTCGTGCTCCACATAGCTCAGGCCCTCTTTGTCCAAGTAAGCCACCTCTGCTGTCTGCGATGCACCCAGACCGCTATACGATCGAACTTTCTCTCTCACCTCGGGGTCAGAACTGAACCTTAGGGCCACAGGGCCTTAGGCGTTTTCAGGTGTAGCTGGAGACTGCCCCACCCCCCCCCCCCCCCATGCGGGGTTTGCATGAAGGGGGTGATCGCGTTCACACCCTGGCTCGAAAGACCCTTTGTAGCAAACGCGCCTTTGGGTCAGAAAGCTCCTGCCAGGCAATCTTGCCTTGGCCTGTCTTGCCCTCAAAGTAGAACACGTGAAGCGTTTGACCCAGCTCTGCCGCGTCGCGAGCGTTCTTCCTCCACTCCTGGGTTTGGAAGCTGTATCTTGAAGTTCTCCCCTAAACCCTAAACGCTACACTTGAACCAATTGAGTTCTCAGGTGCTCTAGAAACCTATAGGGGTTCTACGGCCAACACAACGCAAATTCTGTGGTGTGGACAATCCTAGGCTCTTCGAACCAACGGCAGCCCCACGGAGCTCGTCCATGGTTTGCCAGACATCGGGCCTCAGCCTCTTTCAGCGCTTCCGCCAGCTGTCCTTAGTTGTTCATAAGGGTTTAGGGTTTAGGGTTTAGGGTTTAGGGTTTAGGGTGGAGAATTAAAGGTTAACCTTTGGGATTCTATAGGGGCTAGAATACCCCAAAAAGGTTAAAGGTTGCCTACTCTACTACACAAAGTGTCTCTCCCAGTCCAAGTGTGCTTGATCTTGCTTGATGAGGAGCAGCTGGCCCATGGCTACGGCATCCGCTTTCTTGAAGTCCAATGCTTGCTGGTACTCGCTTTGGGTGCCATGTTCTTCCTGCAGCTGCTGCACGTCGACTACACTCAGGTACGTGTTCGCCGGCAGGCTGCCATATAGTGCATGACACCAGCAGCTCCCCAAACTGTGCGGATTGTCCGCGTGCTGACCCAAGCCCGAGGCGCGGTCCGTCAGGAAGACGCAAGCCAGCGAAACACCTTCCTGGGAGTTTGCAGCCAACACCGCCGCGTCCCACTGTTCGCTGTACTTTCCAGGAAAAGAAACTATGCAGTTGCTGGATGCAGGATTCACCCGCCCCGGGAATGCAATTCGCTTGGCCTTTGAGGAAAGGCCAAAGCCGTGAATCTCAGCAAGCTTCTGGAGGGCTTCCATCGGCCGCGCCCACTGCTGCGGGCCGACTAGGCCACTAAGCAGAAGCACGTTCAAGACCTGAAGGCTCGCATCCGCAGTCAGGAGGAGGATATCAATTTCATCTCTGGGTGCATGGAACGCGAGAGCACCAAGCCCACTGAGAAGAGGACCTGGAATCACAAGGGCAGCATTGATGTATAAGCAGGCCGCTGTTGTCCGAATGGCGGCGTCATGCCACGCAAGGCATAAAGCGCGGCTTGCTGCGTGGCAGAGGCCATACGACTGAACTAGCAAAGTTGCAGCACAGCAGCAAAAGAATATAGTTTTTAGGAGCAGATCTTCGCCCATGGTCCAGTCCTGAAACCAAAATACAAAGATCGGAATGTCAACCAGAGCTGCACATAGAGCCACACACATGCACGTCTTGCACAGTCTTGCGCTGATGTGAAATCCCAAGGCCTGTAGCTTCAGATTTGTCATTTGCATCTGAGCAGCGTTGCATAGCATTTCCCACAGAGCTGCCGAGACGGAAAGATAGCCGTGGTATGAAAAGAGGAGGAATTCAGAGACAACGAGGCCAGGCAGAACACTAATAGTCTCGTCCAATGGCGCAGCTGAGACTCTGCTGGCAACCGGTGGCTCCGCCTCAAATACATGTAGACTCCAAACCCAGTCACTAGGGGCCGCACGATGGCATCACAAAGCACATTCCATGCTGCCAGTTTCCAAGCAGCCGTGATGCATTCGCCGCGGTAAATTTTTAGAAACCCACACACACACGCCTTAAACAAAACAAGTTGGCTGCAATGCGCGCTGCAGTATATGTCGCCACAACCACATTGCTGCCCCGATTCCCCGCAATTTCTGTCTTCTCAAGGTCCCTGCTCATCTCTGCGAGCATCGACCTTCTGCGACCCTGCGGTGGTGGCCGCTCACTGCGGGCAGGCGGACTCCAGCTGCTCGATATGAGGCTTTGCTCATGGTTGACGAACTCGTCTGACATGGACTGTTTGTGCACTCGCGTGGCAAGCTCCACATCCTGTGTAGTGGAGCCTGGCACGGACATGGCTCGAAGAAGGATGTCAAGATGTCTACTTCAATTATAGGGAGCTGATGCCAGAGCGGATGCAGGGCAGAGATGTTCTACATACTGCATGTACCAAAAACTAACAAAAAAAGCCTGAGATTGCAAATCTGCAGGCTGCAAGTTTGTTTGCATTAGCTTAGCTCAATCTGAATTACCTGCACAACAGGCCCCGAATCCACCAAGCTTGAGAGTTAGGGCCTATATATAGGGCTTCGTGATTAGGGTTTGCGCTCTGCAGCAACTAAGGACTGAAGCTTAGTACGTATATAGGTTAGACATATGCGATTTGATGGAACAGGTATTTGATGCTCAGACAACCTGAATTTGACAAGACCGTGTTATAACAAGGACCGAAGACGGGTGTAGTGATGTGTACTTAGGGGCTGAATACCCTAGCCCAAAAAGTTATCCTTTTATATGTAGAGAAGGGTTCTATATAACTAAAATAGCTGAAGGTTGCCTACCCAGTCACTAAGCGTAGCGTTTAGGGCAGAAGGGTCTTAGTTGTGCGACCGGTGCAGATAGGCCCCTTGCCGAAGATGTTTCGCAGCGGCTCGGAGAGCATGAGCAGATGGTCCTCACTTTGGTGGGGGGGGTGGGGGGCGCTTCGGAGGGAAAGGGTTAGGGGTTGGGGTATAGGGTAGGGTTTTTTTTAGGGGGGCTTGGCTAGGATGCCTCCAGCTCTCAAGGGGGATCCTCTACTAGATCCCAGGAGTAGCCTCTGAATGAGATGGGTTTAGGGAAAAGGGTCTGAGGTTCAGGGTTTTGGGTTTATGGTTATGCGCGGTCCTCTTTGCCACTGTCGAGCTCTCTCTGGCAGTAGCTCAGGTACTCCTTGCGCTCTTCAGGCTTCGGTTTTCGAAGCCCTAAGCAAACATGTTAGACAAACTAGACCCTGGACCTAAACCCCAAGCCTGTTAAACCCAAACCCTCAAATGCTTTTAAGACTTGGGGAGGGGGGTGTTATACTGGGTTTAATTTAGGGCTGAGGGTTCACGAATGAACTAATTTGTGTTTGGGCTCTTCACCGCAACTTCCAGCCCCCCCCCCCCCCCCCCCCCGCCCCAGCTCCTCCACGACGGCATGCCTGCCGCGCTGGCGCACTTGGGCGTCTGCCTGAAGCCCGACACTTCTTGAATTTAGGGTTCAGGGTTCAGGGTTCAGGGTTTAGGGTTTGGGGTCCAGGGTGGGAGAAGTTGTGGAGATGTAGGTTTAGAGTTTGGGGTTTCGAGGATAGGGTGGTTGGGCCTTTGAGATGCAGGCGTAGCCAACTCTTGTAGCTAAACCCCAAACCTTCAACCCCAAACTCCCTAACCCCAAACCCTAAACCCCAAACCCTAGGCCCCAAACCCTAAACCCTAAACCCCAAACCCTAAACCCCAAACTGCCTAAACCCTACAGTAAACCCCAGACCCTAAACCCTACACCCTAAAGCCTAAACCCACCAAAGCCCTGAAAAAAGTCCTCGGGCGCCCGCAAGAGCCCAGGGGTTCCGCACGGCCCAGCGGCCGACCATCACTTCGAACCCTGCCAAGCCGACAGGGTCTCTGTAACGTGGTGGTCAGGGGTTCAGGCTTCAGGGTTCAGGGTTTAGGGTTTAGGGTTTAGGGTTTGGGGTTTAGGGTTTAGGGTTGAGGGTCAAGAGTTCAAACCCTAAACCCTAAACCCTAAACCCTAAACCCTAAACCCTAAACCCAAACCCCAGTAAGAGTCCACAGACTGCTTGGAAGACGACGCTCGAGGTCGAGGTGGCAGGAAAGGCCAAACGGGGGAGGGAGACTTCCCAGAGTCTCCATACACACTCACTTTACGCTCGGGAATAAAATAGAACTAGGTGCGCGGCGCACATCTCGCCGTGCGTTTTCGTGCAGAGATTGAAAATTAAGATGGCTGGAATTTGCAAAAAATGGTGCTATTTACAAGGTACTCGGCGTCCTGAGAGGTGGGAGCGCGTTATAAACGGCACTCTAAGGGGGAAACACGTATTTTAGTGTTTTCGCCTAGGGAATTCACTCCCTTTAAGGAGTTCTGAAATGCCTAAAACTACTTTCCGTTTTCAAGGATTTTAGGGCTTTCAGGGGTTTAGAGTTTAGGGGCTTAGGGATGTTTTAAGGTGTAGGGCTTTATAGGAAAAGTTGCTTGAGGATTCTGGGGCAGCAGGATTTCCGGAATCAGGTTTTGGGAAAACCTCAACGCAGAACCTCAAACCCAGAGACCTCGACCCTAAGCCCCACATCCTCAATCCTCAGTCCTAGCCCTAAACCCTGGGACAAAGCAGAGCCGTAAGTACCCTTAAACCCCCTAAGCCCTATACACCCTAAACCCTAAACCCTAACCCCCCCCAAGCCCATAGGGCGGATTTAGCAAGTCGGAGGGCTACGGTTTAAGTCTTAGCATCTGCAGAGTTGCCAGAGGCCTAAACCCCGAAGCCCAACATCAAGGCTAAACTCCAAGCCCCAAACCCTGCAAACTGGAGCACTAAATGACTGAGGACATGCTGGCAAGTTGCAATAGGGGGGGCGGAATTATCCCCCCCCCCCCCACCCCCCCCCAGCCACCCCACCCAAGAAACCGAAGGAAACCACGCGGCGAGATACGCGCCGCGCTCCAACTACATGGTACCTCTGGAAAATGTTCCTAAATCCTCTTGCTTCCAATAGTATGGTTTGTGGTGTGTGTGTGTGTGCTAATTTTATAGGGTTGGGGGAGCTCTGCAAGAACGACAGAGCCTCCCACCCGCGCAGGTCAGGAAACGGAATGGAGAGTCGGGAAGGGCCGTGGAACTTCGGGTCCAGGGGAGCGGATTCAGGGGTGAGAAACAGGCCCCAAACCTTACCTCATGGGCACGAAAAGAAGGGTTTAGGGTGTAGGGTTTAGGGTTTAGGGTTTAGGGTTTAGGGTTTAGGGTTTAGGGTTTAGGGTTTAAATCACACCCGGTGGATCCTTGGGGTCAGAGTGCACTGTCGGCTCAACTCGCGTGGCCTTTGGCGCGGTTGAGGTCCACTTCCTCCATGCTGCAGATCTCGGAATGCCGTCTAGCAATGTCCGCTTCAACCCCAAAACCCTGAACCCTAAACCCTAAACCCTAAACCCCTAAACCCCGAAACCCTAAACCCTAAACCCCTGGACCCTAAACCCAAAACCCAAAAGCGTGATCATGCGTTGGGCACTTGACGACGTGCAGGCTACGCGTGGGAAAAGCAGAGGAGGTGCCGCATTTTCTAGCAACTACACTCGAAGACGACGTTCCGCATATGCCACATATCCCTAAGATTTAAGGGAAACTACACCCTAAACCCTAAAACCCTAAACTCCTACACCCCTAAACCCCTAAAACCCTAAACCCCTAAACCCTAAACCCTAAACCCTAGAAACCCAAAATTCGCTGTCTTCAGGTGAGCCCTACACTCCCTGGTTTCCCTAAACCGTGGGATCCCTCCGTCACCACCTGCCACCTCCGCATTCCAGCAGAGAAGTTACGCACTTATTAGTACTTCTGTAAAAACGTGGTAACTCAGACTTATGCATACATAATATATATATATATATATATATATATATAGATTATATATATATATATAATATAAATACACTTGTACAAATACACACACACACACAGGCAAACATATTCTTCTTGATGAACGACCGTTTTCCAGCTTGTTTCCTGCAATTCGTAGTTAATCAGTTAATCATATTTACGAGCCGCCGAAACCCACAATCCCAACGAAACTCTGGTCCTAAACCCTAAACCCTAAACCCTAAACCCTAAACCCTAAACCCTAAACCCTAAACCCTAAACCCTAAACCCTAAACCCGAATTGTCCCAACAGCTGGGAGCGAGACCCCTCCGTTGAGCGTCAGCTCCAGGTGAGGGCGGTCGGCTGCCAAGCGGTAGACGAAATCCTGGCATGCAACGTTGTGAGCTCGCCGCTGAAGAGTTCGGGTTTAGGGTTTAGGGTTTAGGGTTTAGGGTTTAGGGTTTAGGGTTTAGGGTTTAGGGTTTAGGGTTTAGGGTTTAGGGTTTAGGGTTTAGGGAGGTTTAGGGTTTAGGGATGTTTAGGGTTTAGGGCTTAGGGTGTTCGGTGTAAGGATTTCGAAGTATACCCTTGGTCTAGGAGTACAGGTACTTGGGGACGGGGGGGGAGCTCCTTGGAGCCTTTCGGTGAAGAAGCCCCCCCCCCCAAAAAAAAAAAAAAAAAGAAAAGAGAGAGAAATATGTAAAAAAGGGGACCTTGAAATCAGGAGTCCATAAGACAGAAAGCAATCATGCCAAGATCCCCCGTGCATGTTTGTTCATCCCACGTACGATGATTACAAGACTCGTCTTAATCCTCAAGCCCCCCCGGGCCTTTGCACTTGGGGGCAAGAACCGTATGAACAAGGCTTCATGTCTCCCCCATGGATGATCCTCCACAGTCTCCTGCGCTGCCTGGACCTGACATTAAACCTAACCCTAAACCCTAAACCCTAACCCCTAAACCTTCATGGCCAACCAGTTTTGTGAGCATTCTGCGCCACCTCCCTTTGTGCACGGACGACACGGAACGCCTTCCCCACACCACCAGAGCCTGTCTGGGGATGTATTCGGGTTAGGGTTTAGGGTTTAGGGTTTAGGGCTTAGGGCTTAGGGCTTAGGGCTTAGGGTTTAGGGTTTAGGGTTTAGGGTTTAGGGTTTAGGGTTTAGGGTTTAGGGTTTAGGGTTTAGGGTTTAGGGTTTAGGGTTTAGGGTTTAGGGTTTAGGGTTTAGGCTTCAGGGTTTAGGGTTTAGGGTTTTAGGGTTTAGGATCTAGGGTTTGCCTCCGCTGTGGGCGACCACAAAGCCCAATCACCCAACACCAGGCTTTGCGAGTCGGGTTTGGGGCCTCTGTGGGGTTTACCGCTCCTGTTTAGGGTTTATACTCCTGTTTAGGGTTTATACTCCTGTTTAGGGTTTATACTCCTGTTTAAGGTTTAGGGTTTAGGGTTTAGGGTTTAGGGTTTAGGGTTTAGGGTTCAGGGTTTAGGGTTTAGGGCTCCTATGTAGTACCTTTTCGGGGTAGTATACTGGAATCCCCTATAAGTAAGCCGAAAAGGAACTGCATTGGAGCCTTTGGGTACAGTTTAGGGTTCCGTTTGGGGTTATAATTTAAAGTAGTGCCTCTGCTTCTTTACATATGAAGGCGGCGCAAAACCCCAAAAGCTGCACCCTAACATGGAACCTCCATGCTACCCCTAGCTCTCACGACAGCAGTGCTTGACTCTTTTTACACTCACGACGAAGCTGCGGCATTGCGACTGATAGGCGGCCTTGACGGCTTGGGAACGTGATGAGGAGATTATCCCCTAAACCCTAAGCCCTAAGCCCTAAGCCCTAAGCCCTAAGCCCTAAGCCCTAAGCCCTAAGCCCTAAACCCTAAACCATTCACATCTCAGAATCTCAGTCACAACACTGGGCGCACATATGCGGGGTCCCCACACAACCTCTCAAACTGCGAGACCGGTGCAACATGCCACTGGCCTGTGGCCAGATTGAGGCACGCACTCAGCAAAATCTCGCCATTGGTGCCGAAAGTGCTACCACCGGTAGAGGAAATCTCCACATAGTCAAAGTCCTTGCTCAGTTTGCAGGCGATCGCGTGCACGTCGGTGTAGTTGTCGAGGCCTTGCATCCTGTACGAGTCGATGGCCCGGACAAGCGGCCCGGACAAGCGGCATACTTGTGCGAAGTAGTCGGTCGGGTCTTGTTGCCCGCACGTGCCGTGCTTCTGCCACTCGTGGTTGACAAACCATAGCATGTACCTCCGCTCAAGTTCCCCTTGTGCACCCGCTGCAAACGGCCCACGGTAGCCCTGGTAGCATGTCGGGAGTTTCTTGACGCTGTAACACTGTGGAATACCTGCAGAATCACACGCCTGCTCCTTGCAGTAGGCCTCAGGCGTAAAGACCCATGATTGGTTCTGGCACGCGGTATCCCAATCGTGCGAGTGCAGGCAGCTGCTGTTGCCATATGGCGGTGTCTCGAACCAGAGGCCATGGACCTTGGCCCTGGGCTGGCTGTAAGGCGGGTTCGTCTGGTCCGTGCAGCCAGTTGGCGAGCTCGAGTTGGCGCATTTAGAGCCATTGAGCCCACCATAGAATCCGAGGCCAGTGTCGATGGCGAGCACACCGCCTTAGTTGCCCTAAACCCTACGGGGACTAAAGGTTAACCTTTGGGAATGCAATTATGGGGATTCCATCTTACCCCCAAAAGGTGAAAGGTTGCCTACTCTACAACCAAGCCACACTGCTGAACGTGTCTTCCGCAGTCCATGGGTGGCGCGTAGGGTTCCGGGAATGGCGGGCATGAAGGCGGGATGCGCAAGGCCCGCTGAAGTTGCACCGCGTTGAGCGCGCACTGCCCATCAAGGCACTCCTTGGTAGCCCAGAAACCAACTGTTGTATAAGGGCACCCAATTTTTGGTTGGCTACTTAGTACTTTATAAGGGAACCTTGAACCAAAAAAGGGAAAAAGGGTACCACTGGGCTACCAAGACTCGTCATCACTGCGGAGGCCTTCTTTCACAACATCCTCCACGGCCGAAGCCAAAGGGATGCAGAACGCAAGAATTTGGAGAAGCATGGCTAGCCCTAAACCCTAAACCCTAAACCCTAAACCCTAAACCCTAAACCCTAAACCCCTAATGAAAAAAGCTGTGCGCGGAATAAAGAGAGCTTGAGCCCAGAGCGCATCCAATCGGAAGCCAAGGTGGTCTTTCAATGTGCCAATCGAGTGTGGCATGTTGAGACCCTTTAAAACCATATAAACCCTTAAGGTTTAGGGTTTAGGGTTTAGGGTTTAGGGTTTAGGGTTTAGGGTTTAGGGTTCAGGGTTTATAAGTTTAGGGTTTAGGGTTTATAAGCTTAGGGTTTAGGGTTTAGGGCGATGTTTAACGGAGGCATCATCATTGCGAGCACTGCACCTCCAACAAGGCCAGACCATGCGGCACTCCCTACTGCCGAGGGCAGCCCCTTTCAAAAAAAAAAAAAAAAAAACGCGGGCCCGTAAACCCTGAACCCAGGGCCCCCCCCCCCCCCCTAAACCCTAAACCCTAAACCCTAAACCCTAAACCCTAAACCCTAAACCCTAAACCCTAAACCCTAAGCCCTAAGCCCTAAACCCTAAACCCAAAAAAAACAAAGAAATCACGCAGGCAGCTCATGTCGCAGTGGAGGCTTGGAGCGGTTGTCGCCTCGGTACGGGCTGGGGGGAATAGGCATTGCAAGGGTTTAGGGTTTAGGGTTTGGGGTTTAGGGTTTAGGGTTTAGGGTTTCAGGTTTAGGGGTTTCGGGTTTAAGCCGATTCTTAAGGGCACACATTTAGGGTACTAGAGAATCCAAGGTAACTCATGCTGAACGCTTCTGACTGCCTTTCGTGTTGTAAGAGGGCCTCTCCGAAACCCCCAAACCCTGAAACCTAAAGCCTAAACCTTGGGATGTTCCCCCTTATACTAACAGGGTTTGGGGTTTGGGGTTTAGGGTTTAGGGTCCTAAACCCTAAACATTCCCCAAAGATCCTTTCAGATTCCCCCCCCCCCCCCCAAACAAAAAAAAAAGGCACTCTGAAGGCCAGAAGCCCTTGGAAAGGCGCTTTTGGGGAACTGCACGCACGCGTGAATAAAAACAAAAAACCCCAAGACCCCATGGGGTTAGGGTCTAGGGTTTCCTAAAGCCCCATTTGAAACTCTACGAAGCAACTCTATGGCTCTCTAGGGCGTTTGAACCCAACAACCCAAAACCCTAAAATATCCTAAAACCTTCCCCCCCCCCCCCCCCAAGGCATTTCCAGCAGTGACTTTTGGCTGTCGGCATGCCGCTCATGTCCAGGCAACACGCTTGCTTCAGAAAGTAGCATCCTGTTCAAATATGCTTCGGTGTCTATCTCCATTCCGGATGCTTTTCTTCACCTCCCTGGCCCAATTCGTTGCAACTCTGCGAGGGTCGGAAACGTCATAGGCTGAACCTTGCGTAGCCTTGGAAAAGGCTGGCTGAGATACACCAGGTCTTCACGAGCTAATCGCATAGGTGAAGCTTCGAAATGACCAACTACCTGCTCAACATTGTGGAGCCTCTCAATCTCGTTCTGTGTCAGTGGTGTGACTTCCGCGCTGTCACACGGAAAGGCCAGACTCGTGCCTTGAGCCACAGAAACGATCCTGTCAATTTCGGCATTGCCCGTCCTAGGCGTCTCCTTGACGCCCACATGCATGGCCCACATCTCCTTAGGCACCTGCTGCGGACGGGCGCTGGCCACACCCGCACACAAGGCATTCAACTTGGGACCCCCTCGGAAGATGGTCCAAGCACCAATCGACTGCTCATAGGCCACGAAAGTCGGAATTATGTATGTCACGGGGTGCAGCTTCATGTCAACGACGTCCAAGTATGCGACCAGCTTCCAAACCGGCTGATTAGAACGCTGGATGTCTGTCAACCTGTAAACACCCGAGAACTTCTCATGACCGGCCGAAAACTTCAGTGACTCCAGCATACATGGCTCGTCTGGAAAGAACACGTAAGGTCTGGTTAAGACCTGAAGCCACATGTCGGTCATGATGAGTGATCGAGCTGCCACACGGTGACGATCGGCTCTGTTTTGCAGCCTTTGCTCGGGCCTAAGAGGCTGCAGCGACTCAGTCTTAGGACAGCAGAGGCAAAAGCGAGGCCTCAACAAGATCCTACCCAAAGGCTCCTATGTAGTACCTTTTTGCGGGTAGTATACTAGAATCCCCTATAACTAACCCAAAAAGGAACTGCATTGGAGCCTTTGGATAAGCCATCAATCTGGCAAAGCAATCACGCTGCCCACTCCTAGCTTCAAAACAAGTTTCCACAGAGTCGCGAGGCTTATGGGTGTTGAGGTACAGTATGTCGAGGACTCCACCGCCAACAAAAAAAAACGGACAGCAAAACACCATAACCCTAAACCCTAAACCCCTAGCTCTCTACCTAAAACCCTATTTAAAGGCCCTTTAAGGACACTGGGCATCACGGCTGGCTTTGAGGCCGCAGAGGATACCACTGCGGGCGTGGATCGTGAATCGCCGGACCTGCCGCCGACTTCAGAGAGCTCCCACAGTTGGGGGAAAGAACGGGGTTTGGGGTTTAGGGTTTAGGGTTTAGGGCTCGAGGGTTTAGGGTTTTATGAGGTGCTTGTCGTTTGACTTGTTCTTGGTTTGATTAGGTTAGAGAGGTACTCCGAACCTTAAGACATAGGAACTTCTAGGGGCCCTACTGGGCGTGCCGACCCAAGAAAACCTAAACCCTAATTGAGCCGAAAACCCTAAACCTGCGAACCCCTAAACCCTAAATCAATCCCCTCCACATCCCCCGAAAAATGCCACATCCTGCCCGGGACACATTGGAGTGCTTTGGGTTTAGGGTTCATAGAGTTTACAGAGTTTATAGAGTTTTTAGGGCTTAGGGTTTAGGGTTTAGGGGGCTAGGGTATATTCAAAACCCAAACCTGTACCGAATTGAGTCTCAGGTCTTGCGGAGCTGCTGCAGCCTTTCCGCCCGCCGCCACAGCATCCACAAAGTTCAACAGCGTTTCCTTGGCCAGGGCAAGCCACCCTTCCGGAATCCCCCTATTCTCACTTGAAACCCTAAATCTTAAACCCTGACTCCAGAATCCCGAAAACTTATTCTTAATCCCTGTTCCCCTAGGAAGAAACAAAGGATCCTTTTTGTTCATATATAAGAAAGCCCATAACCCAAAAAGTAAAAAGGATCCCTAACACTGATCTAGTATTATGAGGATGTGATTCAACAAGATGTGGACGCACGCGACAAGCCGTCGGCCATCGGTCGAAGGTTGGGTCCCGGAACCCCCAACACCGAAAAAACTCTGTGTCAACAGTCTTTTCGACTTTGCTCAGAAAGCTCCGTCAAATGCATTCTGTATCGACTGACGTACTTCTGCAACCTGAACAAAATGTATCCCATGTATTTATCTCTACACAGGCACTCTCCCGCCCCCGCTCTACAGAAACTCCGATAGTAAGGACCAACTAAGATGCAATGGACACCGCACCTTTCTTCCGAATCTTCTCCCAGACCTGTTGGGAGGATCCAAAAGGTAGATCTCTTTAAGGGTTCCTAAGAATGACCCAATATTAGTCTAGGGTACAATTTGGGGGTTCTACTTTTTGCATCCTCCCAGGAATTCTGGGATGAAAATCAGGTCAAGGGGCATAGCGATCACCATCTCGCAGCATGTCGTCCATGGTGTCGTGGGTCCCGATGCGGCACTTGACACCTTGTGAGAAGCTCCCCAGGCTTAGGGTTTAGAGAAAACTTACAAACCCTAAACCCTAACCCTACACCCTAAACCCTAAACCCTAAACCCTAAACCCTAAACCCTAAACCCTAAACCCTAAACCCTAAACCCTAAACCTTAAACCCCAAGCCCTAGGTTCCAATCTCCCCTATAAGTAGGGGGCCTATAGCTAAGCTTCGTGCGGAGGATGCATGCGCTCCCGTGAGGTAAGCAAACCGGTTCATGTCTCCAAGGGAGGCCATGCAGCCGCGCTGAGCCTAACCGTTTAGGGTTTATAGGGTTTAGGGTTTAGGGTTGAGGGTTTAGGGTTTAGCGTTTAGGGATCCAAGCCAGCCTTCCATACCCCTTGAATATCAGGATTCCACCTTAAATGGCACAAAGAATGGTCGTCAAACAAATCAAGGTATCTGGGTCATTAGCTACACCTGAAGACTCCGGTGTAGTTCGTTTTTCTCTTTGGAACTAAGTTGGAGTGAAGACTCTGGTGTAGTAAGTTCCTCTCTCGGGCGGTTGCCATAGCCCTATACTGGAGTACCACAATGGACCTCGAAAAGGAACTGCATTGGTCTTCTGGCAAGGGGTGTGGGCTCTCTGGAAGTCTCGACATGCAGCCTCTTGGCTAGACAAGTTGGCATCCTATGCCCGATGATAGGGCTTTCAAAGTCTGCCACAGACAGCCGGCAGCTTCCAAGTTCCCCAAAGACCTTAATGAAGGAACATACCTGTAGCACCGACTTAACAAATCATAACGAGAGATTTCAAGAAGCCAGGAAATTTCAAATTTGTTCCTTGTATCATGAGTTCAGGAACATCTCTTGCTCAAGGCATTTTGGAAGACCTGGGGACTTTCCTAGGGGATAGGATTAATTAGGGGGACCCTTGGGGATATAGACCCTCTGAATAAGGTCCCTGCTTAAGAGAGCCAGAAGAGGGTTCAGAAGGGGTTCCCTTTTAAGGGTCCCCCCTAAAACCCTAAACCCTAAACCCTAAACCCTAAACCCTAAACCCTAAACCCTCTGAATCCCTTATCCTACCTAGGATTTCCAAGGTGGGCACACCCAAACCTCGAGGGCGTCTCAGTGTGAACCGGAGAGCTGCTTGGGGTGAAAAGTTGAGAAAGCTTTTCAATAGGGCTTAGTGTTAAGGGTTTAGGGTTTAGGGTTTAGGGTTTTGAGAAGGGCTGAAGGTTTACGAGGGTTGGAGCTTGGAGCTTGGGGGGGGGGGGGGGGGGCAAAAGGTTGAATCAAAATTCAGCAATCCTAGTCGGGTTTAGGGTTTAAGGTGGGTGAAGGGAGTTTGGGGAGTTTCGGGAGTCTAGGGTTTGGAGTTTAGGGAGTTACAGGGTGGGGCCCCCTATTTATAAGTAGAGTTATAAGGGCCCTAAATTGGGTTATAAGGACCCTAAGTTAGGTTATAAGTCCCTTAACTACAGTTAGTATAGTAAGGGGGCCCCACCCTGTAGGGTTCAGGCCACACTCTGAACGCATTGGCCGGGCACCGAGCTGATGGCGACAGACGCTGCCTCTGCCATGGCGTCCGTGCAGGTGCCTCGGCGAAAGCTGCTCCTACCCTACCCTTAACTATACCTTCTTACCCTGGCCTAAGCCCTAAACTCTGCACCCTACACCCTAAACCCGAACTAACCCGAACTAAACCCCGCACCCTGCAACCCTGTTCAAGGCCAGCCCAAAAAACCCTAGGAGAGAGCAGGTTTAAGGCTTTCGGGTTTCGGTGGTTAGGCCAGCTAGAGTTTAGGGTTCAGGGTGTGTAGGGCTGTTGTTGAGGGTTTAGGGGCCCTATCGTAGTCTAGTAGGGCTGAATTTGACCGGAAGGAGTAAACACATGGCTGATGGATGTGGGCGACGGGAGTATGCCCCAGAACTTCTCGAGATAAAGATACCACCAACCCCCGAAACCCTTATAAGCCCTAAACCCTAAACCCTAAACCCTGAACCCTAAACCAGTCTGCGAAGGTCATGGCACCTCGTCCTTGAACCCTGAACCCTGAACCTTAAACTCATAAACACCCAAAACCCCCAAAAAAACCCAAGTACGCCCTTGAAAAGGCCCTTTATGGGGTTTAGGGCTGTTATACCCTTTTTAACCCCTTAAAAAGCCCCTTTATAGGGTTGGTTATTATACCCTATAACTCCTTAAACAATCCCCTTAAAAAGGCCTTTTATAGGGATTAGGGCTATGTTGTACCCTTTTTAACCCCTTATGGGGTTGATTCTTGTAACCTATAACCCCTTAAAAAGGCCCTTTTATAGGGTTGGCTATGGCTATGGGGACTAGAACCTGGACATCGCACCAGGTACCAGAGTACCCTGAACCTTAAACCCAAAACCCCCAATTAAAACCTAAGGAGACGGGGGGGTATTTAGGGCATCCTTGAACCCTAAACCCTAAACCCTAAACCCTAAACCCGAAACCCCGAACCCATTGACGGTCTATGGCAACCCTCAAGCCCGCCCCTTGCCCATGCCGTTCCTTTTTCGCAACCTCGCTGCAATAGTAGTGGATCGGGAGACCCGCGCCCTACTCAACTCCAATAAGCCCGAAACCCGAAACTCGCGGTTCAGGGTTTAGGGTTTAGGGTTTAGGGTTTAGGGTTAAACCCCAAACCCGGCAAACAGAAAGCCTACGAAGCCCCTATGACCCAGCCAAAAGCCTTCTGAGAAGCCTAAACGGGCTTTCAGGGCGAGAGCTCCAATGCCTTATGGGGGCTTGCTGTTTCCAGGGCTTACATTTGGGGCTTAGGGGTTTGGGGGCTTAGGGGTTTAGGTGTTTAGGGCTTTTAGGGTTTAGGGGTTAGAAGGGGTTTGGGGCTTCGGGTTCAGGGTTTAGGAACTTCCCAAAACATTTAGACGCACGTTTGGGGGGGATTCTTGGGCCCCGAAGTACCACGCTGTGACATGGTTCCCTTGTCGGCCCTGAGCGACTACTATATACTAACTTCCCTGCAGGGTATCGAGTTTTAGGGCTTTTGCTGATCAACCCTGGGGAAATCGTAAAAAACCCTAAACCCTAAACCCTAAACCCTAAACCCTAAACCCTTAACCCTTAACCCTTAACCCTTAACCGTCCCCGGGGGGGGGGGGGGAAGGGGTAACCCTTCAACTTGGATCCTGTGCGGCTCATGAGATAAGATTGTGAAACCAAAAGCTTCCCCAAAAGCACCACGCTTGCCGGCTCTTAGTAGCTTTGTGTTTGGGGGTTACGGTTTAGGGTTTAGGGTTTAGGGTTTAGGGTTTAGGGTTTAGGGTTTAGGGTTTAGGGTTTAGGGTTTAGGGTTTAGGGTTTAGGGTTTAGGGTTTAGGGTTTAGGGTTTAGGGTTTAGGGTTTAGGGTTTAGGGACCCTGAGGTGATGACAAGATCCGTGGCAACGACGTCACCATCGTTGCAGCTACCAGGAACATCGAAACTGAGACAGCTAAGGTCAGCATCCCGACCTGGAGACTCCAATGTAATTCCCTTCGGTGTCCGTTCTGGCTTTAAACCCTAAACCCTAAACCCTAAACCCTAAACTCTGAACCCTAAACCCTAAACCCTAAACCCTAAACCCTAAACCCTAAACCCTAAACCCTAAGCCCTAAACCCTAAACCCTAAACCCTAAACCCTAAACCCTAACCACCCCCCCAAACAGGAACTGCACTGGAGTTTTCAGGTAAGCCCTGGGGGCCACTTTGCACCACTTCACGTTCACAGGCCACGAGTCCGAGCACGCCTCAGCAGTCGAACCCCCGAGTTCAAGTCTAATTAATTAGGGTTTAGGGTTTAGGGTTTAGGGTTTAGGGTTTAGGGTTTAGGGTTTAGGGTTTGGGGTTTGGGGTTTAGGGTTTAGGGTTTAGGGTTTGGGGGTTTGGGATTTGGGGTTTAGGGCTGAGGATTTCAGGCTCAGGGATGTTTAGGGCTTGTTCGGGGAGGTCGCGCCCAATCACAACTCGCAACGAGCCAAACCAGAGCCTGCTCAAACCAAGCCAATGCCATTCCAAACAATAACAGTAAACACCAAAAAGTTAAAAAACCTGTTTAAGGACAAATCGTGCTGGGATTCCCAAGACTTTACTCTTAGGGATTGAGGCTATTGAGTTTCCAACTTTTTGGGTTCTAGTATACTTGGTAGCCCCGTGACCACATTCCGATAAGCGCACCCTTTTGCGGGTTAGTTACTTTATAAGGGAACCATGAGTACCCCAACTGATGGTATGTATGGTAAACTCTAAAATAACCCGAAATCCTACACCCTAAACCCTAAACCCTAAACCCTAAACCCTAAACCCTAAACCCTAAACCCTAAACCCTAAACCCTAAGTTCCTTCTTTCCCTGCATCCTAGACTCTTCAAGATGCCATTGGCGTGCGCGGCGCCCACCTTTTTGTGGACTCGAGGCTTTAGGGAATGCGGGCTTCCGGGACTTTTGAGGCTTCGAGTGGGTTTTAGAGTTTAGAGTTTAGAGTTGAGAGTTTAGAGTTCAGAGTTCAGAGTTCAGAGTTCAGAGTTTAGGGTTTAGAGTTTGGAGTTTGGAGTTTAGAGTTTAGAGTTTAGAGTTTGTAGTTTGTCATCTTGAACCCATAGAGGAGAACCATAGCACAGAACAACCCCTCCTAGACCCAAGAGAGAAACCCTAGGAATTAAAATGGGCACCCTTTTTTGGGTTTAAAGGGGCTTGTGAATAAGAGAAGCTCAACCCTAAACAAAGGGAAAAATGGCCTACTCTGGGTCCTAGCCTCACAACTCTGGGGTCATAGCTCCCCTGAGCACGAAGGCCTGAAAGCCCTGACACCTCCGCCCCCAAGCCCCAAGCCCTAATCTCCATAAACGGGCTTAGGGTTTAGGGTTTGGGTTAAGGGTTTAGGGTTTAGTGCGTGGCCATGATGGAGACTTCTAGGCAGCTCCTAAACCCTAAACCCTAAACCCTAAACCCTAAGCCTAAACCCTAAACCCTAAACCCTAAACCCTACGCTCTGAACCCTAAACCCCAAACCCTAAACCCTAAACCCTAAACCCAAACCCTCTGGAACATGGTCCCCTGGTGAGGCTTTACACTTTGACACATAGCCTGAATATCGAAGAAGGGGACAAGATTGTAGAGAACCTCCCCTCACCCCCCCCCCCCCCCCCCCCCCCCACATAGCCTGAATATCGAAGAAGGGGACAAGATTGTAGAGAACCTCCCCTCACCCCCCCCCCCCCCCCCCCCCCCCCCCGCCCCGGCGCGGAAACCCTCAGCCCTATAATTATTCCCTAAACCCTAAACCCTATGAACCCTGTGAGCCCCAAACAGCCCTGCCCTAAACCCTAAACCCTAAACCCTAAACCCTAAACCCTAAACCCTAAACCCTAAACCCTAAACCCTAAACCCTAAACCCTAAACCCTAAACCCTAAACCCTAAACCCTAAACCCTAACCCTAAACCCTAAACCCTAAACCCTAAACCGTGGAACCCGAAACCCTCAACCCCACATGATGGGACTCCAAGGCGCCACAGTGACAACCCGTCGACAGTTGGGCCGGGAACGCACCTGAAGTCGACTCCAAAATCCGGGTTTAGGGTTTAGGGTTTAGGGTTTAGGGTTTTGGGGTCATATGGGGGGGTTTCCGATATTGAGGGCACCTTATATCTTGGGATCCTTACTATAAAGGGATCCTACTGCTGTGGGGCTCCATGCGCGGGGTCGTTGATTATAGTAAAGCCCCATATACCCTGTGCTAGAAAAACTCCTTATAAAGGTATGGACCATGAACCCTTTTAGGGTTCGTTCAGTCCCCAAGGATGTAGGTGGGGATAGGGTTCAGGTTCTCGTGTTCCGGGGACCTTTAGGATTTGAGGACCTTACTAAACCCTAAACCCTAAACCCTAAACCCTAAACCCTAAACCCTCATTGAAGGAACTACATGGGAGCCCTCAGGCATACATCATGGGTTCCCCTCCTACCCGCCTGTATACTACTCCCCCCCCCCTTATTTCCCCCATAATTAAAGCTATGTGAGGATAATTAACCCGAAATAAGGTTTTTTAAGGGGGGGAACCTCGGGGGGGGAAGGGGGGGGGGGTGGTATAGAGGGGGGTAGCAGGGTAACCCACCCAGCGTCCCCAATCCTGAACCCTCTCGACCCCAACCCTGTCCGGATCTAACACAAAATCCTCAACCCCCAAGTCCCTTGAGGGTTTTGGGGTTTAGGGTTTAGGGTTTAGGGTTAGACGCTTGATCCCCGGACATTTCGCAGCTGGGGCCTCACAATCCTCACTTCTAAGCCTTAGGTTCTGAGCCCCACTGGCGGTCTAAAACAATAACTGCTGGCGCCTGCGAAGCCATTTGCTGGTACATCGCCTGGCTGCTCAGATCTTCAGAATACGCTCAGATCAGAGTTCGGGAACCCCTAAACCCTAAACCCTAAACCCCAAACCCTAAACCCCCAAAAACCCAAGGGCAAAATAGACTGCAGCTCCGAAGTCTGCCCTTCACAAGATTGACATGAGAGTCTGGCACAGGGGGGCTCATGTGGGGGGGGGGGGGGTTTCCGAGGTTAGGGTTTAGGGTTTAGGGTTTAGGGTTTAGGAATTGGGTTTAGGTACCACCAGAGTAAGGATTATACTATTTAGGGGCATTTGCAAGGGATTCATATTCGCAAGATTGTGGTGCACTTTTTGCCAGAGGCAGACTCAAATCTACTGCAGAAGACATGTCCATAGTTGGGGATTTATTTGGTGTGACGTGTCGCGTGGGGGTTGGAGTTCAACGGGGGTGAGGGTTTAGGGGTTTGCGGTTGAGGGTTGTCAGGGAGCTTTCAGCCGAACTATAGCTGCACACCGTGCACCCTAAACCCTAAACCCTAAACCCTGAACCCGAAACCCTAAATCCTCAAACGTCCGAAGCCCTATCCTGAACCCTTGGCATTCCACCACGGGTGTCCTCGTCACGCGAGGCTACCAGAGCTTCGTAGAGGCAGGGCGTCCTTACTTGATTAGGGTTTAGGGTTTAGGGTTTAGGGTTTAGGGTTTAGGGTTTAGGGTTTAGGGTTTACGGAAGGATGGTACTTAGGGCACTTAAAGGGCGTATAAGTGGGTTATGATCGGTACAGTGATATTTTGTTAATAAGTGCCATGAACCTGCAAGTAGGGTTTCTTGGGGTGAGGTGTAGGATGGCTTTGTTGGGGATGCTATAGATGGACGCCGACAAACTTGGTCCAGGGTTTCCCAGATACTCTTCTCTCTTGTACCGAGAGGTTAAAGTATGAATCTCCTGATGTCGGGAGGCAAGCCCCTTATGCATCACTCTGCCTCTGCGCCCTCTAGCCGGCTAAATGCAGCACTCTGCAGCACTTCAAAAGGCGGACAACCCGAAGCAACGCCCTAAACCCCACCTGGTCAGTCCTCCAAATGCATGGTCCCTTTGTAGGGTTCACAATGTGCAGTCTTACATAAGGGCACCCAAACAAGAGCCGTAGTTTAGTGCCTGGCGCGAGATTAACTTCCTCTACACCAAAACGAATTGCGGGTTCCTACTTGGGAAAGACATACAGTAGCTACAGCAGTTATGGGTAAATTTGCAGGGCCCTAAATTGGATCGTCCAAACTATACCTTAAATTCCCTTAGATTGCAAAGTTTACTTCGCCAGAAATCATGTTGCGCATGCTTGCAAACTATAGTCCGCAGACCCCGCCCTGTAGAGTAGGCCAGATATGAGCCTTGCTCCTTCATTTAATCGTCCCTGAGCTCTATAAACCCCAAGGCCCTGGCCCTAAACCCTAAACCCTAAACCCTAAACCCTAAACCCTAAACAAGAGACCAGCCAGGCAACATATAGAACTCGAAGGCCAGCAGAATGTTGGCCATGACCGCCTGCAGGGTCGGCTGCTTCGCGGAGCCTCCCTCATCCCCTGTTTACCTTAAAGTTACCCTAAGCCCCATAAACCCTGAACCCTAAACCCTAAACCCTAAACCCTAAACCCTAAACTCTGAACCCTAAACCCTAAACCCTAAACCCTGAACCCTAAATCCTAAACCCTAACCCTAAACCCTACACACAGCTGAGCGGCGAGGGTGTAGGGCCTATACGGGTTGAGTGTTTAGGAGTTGAGTGCTTGGAGTTTTGGCTTTGGGGTTTAATAGTTCAGGGTTTAGGGCTTGCGATGGAGGTCTTACGGAAATTCCCCAAAGCGGAGGCGCCTCTCAAACAAAAATACCCCCCCTCAAAGTGTCAGAGACCCTCCTCTAACTTTCAGGCCCTGCATCCCTACCTCCTTACGCATGTCTAAACCGCAAAACCCGAAACCCCGAAACCCGAAACCCCAAACCCCGAACCCCAAACCCCAAACCCTAAACCCCAAACCCTAAACCCCAAACCCTAAACCCTAAACCCTAGCCCTAAACCCTAAACCCTGAAATCCCATGGCCTGGCGATCTTCCGGCTTCACCACGCCAGCACCCTCAGGGCTTTTGCTCTTGAGCCCTACGACGGGCCCAGGGTTGGGAGGGTTTAGGGTTTAGGGTTTAGGGTTTAGGGTTTAGGGTTTCGGGTTTAGGGTTTCGGGTTTAGGGTTTAGGGTTCAGGGTTCAGGGTAGGGTTCAGGGTTCAGGGTTCAGGGTTCAGGGTTCAGGGTTCAGGGTTTAGGGTTTAGGGTTTAGGGTTTAGGGTTTAGGGTTTACTTCTGCAGGTTTCGGGTTTAGGGAATCTTGGGAACTCTAAGGACACTATAGGCCGGCTTAGACCCTATGGCCCTGAAAAGCCCTTGGGTTTGGGGTTTTAGGGGGTAGGGGGTTAGGGTTTAGGGTTTAGGGTTTAGGGTTTAGGGTTTAGGGTTTAGGGTTTAGGGTTTAGGGATACTCTCGAGCCCTGAGGCGCGCCCTCTACGCCTTGGGGACCCTTGGGAGCCTCCGCAGCTCCTTCGGCTCCCCGACCCATGAAGTAGATCACAGCACCTTTGGAAGGCGGCGTTTGGGGTTTAGGGTTTAGGGTTTAGGGTTTAGGGTTTAGGGTTTAGGGTTTAGGGTTTAGGGTTTAGGGTTTAGGGTTTAGGGTTTAGGGTTTAGGGGCTCATAGGGTTTAGGGTTTAGGAATTCGGGTTTAAGGCTTAGAGGGTTTAGGGGGTTTAGGGGCTTATAGGGTTTAGGGTGAGGGTTTAGGGCTTATTACCGGGCTTAGGGGTGTTGAGGCGGGGGCGACCATAACCCTAGACCCTGAAGCCCGAACACACTTCTGGCGAAGACGGTCATGCACTGCCTTCGCTTTGTCGGATTGGCCGAGCAAACGGCTTGATACGATGTCCTCTCACAGATGACTTCGTGATCTAAACCAAAAACTCTCAAGACCTGGGTAAACAACAATTGTATGTCGTCACGTCCCTTTACTAGCACCGAGCTTGCCAGTAGTTATCCCACATGGCCCAAAAACCTGCCCAAAACGTTCGCCCAAAACCCTCCGAGCAGGGGCAGGGGGGCACGGACAGGGGGTAGGGGGCAAAACCAAAAGCAAAAGCAGAAACTTAAACCTAAAGCCCGCCCAAAATCTTCGCCCAAAACGCGCCCAACCTCCGACACGAGCCCTACACAATGTCTATAAAACCTAATCCCTGAATCCTAAAGGTCCCAAACCCCTACCCTCCCTTAACCCTTCACCCCTGAAGCCTCCGAACCCGCGTGCTCCCTCCGGTCGGATGCTCTTCATGCGACCCACCTGGATTCAAGGGTTCGAGCTCAGGGTTTGGGGGTTAGTTAGGGCATAGGGATTAGGGCTTAGGGCTTAACGCGATGCGCAAGCCCATGTTGGCGACCGCCTCTGGCAGCGCGACGCTCCGTGCTGACCTCCATGTACTGATGCTCACCTGGGACCCCTTTACCTACAGACTAGTAGTAGCTACCCTTAATTTCGTAGGTCCCTCTTTTACCTACAGATTAGTAATAGCTACCCTTAACTTAGTAGGTGTAACCCATGAAACTAAGTAGGTGAAGAGGGTCCCAGGCACAGATTGTATTGAAAACGCGCAAGACAAGTTCCCTCACTCACCCGCTGTGCTCATCAGTTGAATCATCACATCTCTGGCCGGCCCTTCTCTGGCCATTCGGTACCGGCTCCATCTGCGATAAACAAACAGGCGAAAGAGTGTACATAGCAGAGCCGCAATTAACAGGAACAGAATGATGAAGCCACCGAATGTTGCGTCGCCCGAAGGCTTGGCAGAATGCCATACCTCCGTCCCATTGTGTCTGTCTGGTACCTCCGGTTCCACCTGAGAAGCGGGATGTCCACTGTTTCGGCTGTCGTCCCACGTCGTGCCTGTGCTACCTATCTCTGCAGTGGAAGAGCTACTTGTGGAATCGGCCGTACGAACTGGCAACAAGCTGGCTGCAACCGAATCGGAATCTCCACCGCGAGCGCTGTCCCCCCAAGTTATCACGGAACCATCTGCCTTCTTGGCTGCGAAAGCATACTTCGTGGAAGAGATCGTATCCACAGATGACAGCAGCTCAGCTACTGAAGAGGAATCACCACCCCATGCAGGGGAACCCCAAGTCACCACCGTGCCATCCTTCTTCCTTGCTGCAAAGGCGTAGGTGGCGGAATAAATCACCTAGACCCAGGGGTAACCTAGGAATAAACAGGGTGCCCTTTTTGGCTTTAAGGGGATTATAAGGGAAACCCAACCCTGAAAAAAAGCAAAGGGCCTACTCCGGGTCCCAGTCACATCCACAAATGTCAACCTCTCAGCAACAGATGAGGAATCACCACCAGAATAAGCCAAATCACTGATCCCGCCCCACGTCACCACAGTGCCGTCGGCCTTCTTGGCTGCAAACGCACAGCACGTGGAAGTGATTGCTTCCACGGACGACAAGCTTGAAGCAACGGAGGAAGAATCACCTCCATAATCCTCCGCGCCCCAGGTTACAACGGTGCCGTCGTTCTTCAGTGCTGCAAAAGCATACCAGCTGGAGTAGACCGCCTTCACCGACGTCAGCTGATGAGCCACTGAAGACGAGTTTCCCCCAGCATCGCCGTCACCCCACGTCACCACTGTGCCATCCGTCTTTCTTGCGGCAAAGGCAGGCAGGGTGGAATAAATCTCAACCACGGATGTGAGCTGCTCTGCTACCAAAGATGAATCGCCCCCACCGACTTCAGAGCCCCAGGTAACCACGGAGCCATCTGTCTTGACTGCAGCAAAAGCCTTAGTAGCCCAGTAGCCATATCATAATAAGGGCACCCTTTTTGGGGTTGGCTACTTTATAAGGGAACCTTCAACCAAAAAAAGGGTAAAGGGTACCACTGGGCTACCAAGAAGCACAATGGCTAGAGTATATCACATCTACGGATGTTAAGCGCTGCGCCACGGCCGAGGAGTCCCCACCACCCATCTGATAACCCCAGGTCACGACGTCTCCGTTCAGCTTTTTTGCTGCGAATGCGTAGTGTGCTGAATACACAATATCAACAGAAAACAACTGCTCAGCAACAGACGAGGAGTCGCCACCATATTCACTGTGGCCCCACGTCAGCACAGTGCCATCCGTCTTCTTGGCTGCAAAGGCATGATGGGTAGAATAAACCATGTCCACAGAGGTCAAGTGCTCAGCGACGGCCGAGGAATCTCCACCTTCCTTTCTGCTGCCCCAAGTGACGATGGTGCCGCCTGTCTTCTTTGCCGCAAAGGCGTAATTGGTGGAATATATAGCCTCTACAGACGACAGGCGCTCCTGCAATGAAGAGGAATCGCCGCCACTATGAGGGGCGCCCCAGGTCACGACGGTTCCGTCCTTCTTCTGTGCGGCGAAGGCATAGGCAGTAGAGTAGACCGTATCCACGGCAGAAGAGGAATAGTCATCCTCACCCAATGCTCGACCGCTCGAAGACACCGTGCCATTGGTCGTTTGCGAAGCGAAGGCTTGCCAAGCGAAGTGAATCACATCCACGCCCCGGACACAGGTGTGCAGGTTCAGCATCAAAACCACACATGCCCTCCATGGGCAAGCGCGCGGCTTGTGTGGCCACTGACAGTTCATTCTCTTGGCGTCCTTGGAGCCTCTCATGGCCACAGGAGTGCCTCAGGATTTCGGCCACATGGTGAGTTCTCTAAATTATGGTCCCCCTTTTTGGGTACCTTCAATATTGGGGGGCCTTAGAAAAGTAACCTCAGAACAGTGGAAGAAAAGGTACACTTTTTGGTTTATAAAGGGGCTTATGAGGAAACCTAAACCCCAAAAACAAGGGAAGAAGGGCCTACGCTGGGTCCTAACCCTAAACCCTAAACCCTAAACCCTAAACCCTAAACCCTAAACCCTAAACTCCCAATTATGGCCTACTCTAGGTCCTAGTAGCGAAGAAGTGATCAGATCACCTTGGC